TGGCCCACTTGTTTTGGTACCTCCCCCACAAAGGGTAAACATTTTGAATAATTATAAGTCTGATAAAATGTGATGTAAGAATCCGATTGTCTTAAAATTTCATACATCCCATTTTTTTAACCCAAGATCTAGTGTTAAGATGGAATATATCGGTCCACTCCTTCTGGTACCTCCCCCACAAAAGGTCAAAATTTTGAATATCAATTAAGCTCATAAAATTAATATCAGATTCCATTTAGACTTGGCACATCTGAATATTTCTATCAACACAAGATCTGTTAAAAAACGGTAGAGATCGGACCATTCCTTTTGGTACCTCCCAAATAATTGTTAATCATAATTTAAACCTTTTGTGGGGGAGTTACGAGAAGGAGTTAGCCGATAAATTCATATCAGATCATAGATTGAGAAAAATATGTTAATTTACCTAGTTTGAAAAAATCGCCGATATGTTTCGCAATTTATGAGACATATATGCATTGCAAATTGTAAACCTTTCTGAAAGAGGTACAAGGAGGAGTAGGCCGATATCTATAATTTTCACAACAGAACTTGAGTTAGTAAAATTATTGGGATATATGGAATGCGGAGGTCATCGGATGCTGATATGATATAATTATTCAAAATTTTGACCAGTTGTGGGTGAGGTATCAGAAGGATAGGCCCGATATATCTCATCTCCACATCAGATCTTGTGCAACAAAAAATGTGAACTTTGAAGAGAATCTGATGCTTATTTCACCTTTTATGGGAAATATAATTATTCAAAATTTTGACCCGTTATGGGGGAGGTACCAGAAGGAGTAGTCCGACATATTCCATCTTCATACCAGGTCATGTATTAATAGAAAGATTGAGATGTGCCATGTTTAAAAAGGATTCGAATGCTCATTTCACGATTTGTACCGCTATGTAGGAGGTACCAGAAGGGGTAGACCGATATCAAATATCATCGATCTTGTATTTATGGAAATATTGATATGTACCAAGTCTGAGTGGAATCGGATGTTTATTTCGCGTTTTATGAACTTCAAGGATATTCAAAATTTTGACCTTTTGTGGGGGAGGTACTAGAAGGAGTGGACCGTTATATTCCATCTTAACAGCAGACTTTGGGTTAATAAAAATATTGGGATGTGTGAAATTTGAAGAGATTCGGACTCTTAAATCACATTTTATATGAGTTGCAATTATTCAAAATGTTGACCCTTTGTCAATTTTCGCACCTGACCTACCACTGACGCAAATATTAGGATTTGCAAAGTTGGAACAAAATCGGATTATCGTAACCCTTTCTGTGCAGAAATTATATTTTTTTTTTTAAATTTCGACCTTTTGTGACAGACAGGCGGACGAACATCGTTCAATCGACTTAGAATTTAATGTTGATTATTATATATATATATATATATATATATATATATATATATATATATATATATATATATATATATATATATATATGGGTCTACTTGACACAAATACATGCTCTGTTACAGTGTTTGCAAGAATCTACTAGTTTTGCAATTTTCCTCGATATTATAAAAAATCGGAAAATCGGTTTTTGTAGTAAAAACTTTTACATTCTTGCAGTTCTGGAACAGACCAATAGTTATTTTAACATGGACAAAACCCTAAGTATTTTACGTTGATTCAATCCATAATTAGTCTGTTGCAGAACTACAAGAATGTACATGTGTTTACTTCGATAACCGATTTGCCTTTATGATATCGAAAAAAATGCCAAACTGGTAGATTCTTGCAGGTTCCAAAACAGAGGAAATAATTTAGAAATTTTCAAAAAGTGAAATCCTTAAAAAATTCTGTTAAAATTAAGAAACGAATATTGTCGCTATATTGGGGTCTATACGACGTGGACCTACATAGGTATTGCTTGTCATAAGTCATTACCATATTCAAATTCGAAACTTGAAATAAACGGTGAATAATGTAGATAAAATCATCAAAATATTGTATATAGGGAGGTGCGAAGACCTGGACCAGCATAGACAATATTCTGTCATGGGCTGTAGCATCCATTACGAACTTAAAATACGACATCTCAAACAATTTCGGTGGGTATTGTACCTAAACTCGTCAAAATACCGAATATAAGGTATATAATAACGAAGACCTGGACATGCATGGACAATTTTCCGTCATAGACTGTAGTTCCCATTACGGACTTCAAATACAAAATTTTAAACAATTCCGGTTAATAATGTCGTTAAAATCATTAAAATTCCGAATATAGGGAGGTACCTTTATATGGGGGCTATATGAAAACGTGGACCTACATGGCCCATTTACGAACTTAACCTGCCTACTGGAAAATAAACATGTGTGCAAAATTTTAGCCTTCTATCTCAATTCGTTCGAAATATTGAAAGCGTGATTACAACAGACAGACAGACAGACGCACATCGCTAAATCGACTTAGAATTTTACGCTGATCAAGAATATATAACTTTGTTGGGTCTGAAGTGAGTATTTCGGGGAGTTACAAATGGAATGACAAAGTTAATATGCCCTCCATAGTATGGTGGAGGGTATAAAAATGGAAGCAATATAAAATCCCTTAACGGTAAAAGCAAATATAACATTAGTTTCTCAAAGTGGCGAATCAGTTGATCTAATCGTTCGCCTCGAACCCGTGACAAAAGTAGTAAACGAAAAGAACCGAGAACAGGGTAGTAGAATAGAATGAGAAGTAGAATATTATTATACAGGGCTGCCATTTCTGAAGATTTATCGGCATTTTGATGATTTTTCACTTTAAAAATGAAAAACGACGATTTGCCGATTTTTGCCTCAAAAAATAAAAATATTTTAACGATCATCAAATTGTCTCACGAAAGCAAACGAAGCAAATAAAATATACCTCCCTTTTTTAAGGATATATTCTCAATGTTATTAATAACACTTACAAATTATTTCAACAAGAATCAACCGAAATTCATAATTTACCTAACCAAACGGATTAACTTTTTAGAAGCGTTTTCAATTATTTCATAAAACAGGACGTCATAAGAGATAATATTCATTTAACTCACTTTAGGGACACCAACATTTTTTATAGCATATGATGAAATATATTTCGGTTTATATGCAAAAGATATTGTTTCCTTAAACGAAACATCTGCTAATCTAATATTGAAACTGCTTAATTTTAATTTTAATTCATTTAAATGATTAAAACTTATTGATCCTGAAAGAGTAATGAAGAAGAGAAATTATTTTTTGTTAGGAATTTTTAAAGATATCCTAACTTTCATTTTAGAAACTGAATGACAATGTTTAGAATCCGAACGTTTTTGGAAAAAAAAAATCCGAAATAAAACGTTGGATTTCCACTTTAGATTTTTCAATTTTATCTAAATTCCTGCAAAGAATCATTGCAAATGTGGAACGAATTTTTTGTTAGGTAAACATTAACAAAGTTAAGATTAAGAATTCAGTTAAGAATTCTAAAGATTACCTAAAATTAAAAAACGCCCATTGTTTTAATAAAATTACATGGCTTGTATGGCATCTGTTTATTGTTACGTAATTAGAGTTCAGTTTCGGAAAATACGGGTCTTTTTTAGTATCCAGCAGGATTTTTCATGACTTAAATAAATACACTGTGTTATACGTAAATCTTTAAATCTCACTACAGCATTTTTGCATAATCAATAAAATTATTGAAGCACCTTAAATATTTTGTTATTACATACACATTAATTTTCTGTGCTATTAATTGTTCTGTTTCAGAATTTTAATTTTTAATAAAGATGTGGACTCAACAATATGAATTAATAACTGAATCTAAATCTTTTGAAGAAAAATAATTCTTTTTATTCATGTTTTAAAGTCATCTTGTTATACCCTCCACCTTGGAAAATAGGGTATATTAACTTTGTCATTCCGTTTGTAACATCCCTAAATATTCATCGTAGACCCCGTTTGTCTGTCTGTTTGTATGTTAAAATCACGATACAGCCCACGTTATTTGACGAAGAGCGTCAAAATTTAGCAGAACAATTTGTATTGTATTTTTATTCTAGGATATTGGAAATGAGATATATCGGTCCACGTTTTGATATAGTCCCCATACAACGGTACCTCTCGATATTTGGTATTTTGATGATTTTTGCCACATTTTTTAAGGATTTGTCTGAAAATTGGTATTTGTAGGTCATAATGGGTCCTAGTTCGTGTGGCGAAACATTGTGTGTATAGGTCCACGTTTTGGTATAACTCCCATATAATGGTACCTCCCAATATTCGGTATTTTGATGATTTTTGCCACATTTCTTCTCGCATTTGTCTAAAAATTGATATTTGTGGGTCCTAATGCGTTCTAGCTCCGTTGGCGAAACATTGTATGTATTCGACCCTGCCGAACTTAATGTTTTTTTTTTATTATTGAAATGCAGAGTTGTCCTTGTTTTATATTCATCTTCTGCTCTTTAGATAAAATAAACTATTTTGTTTTGTTATAACTTAATAAATTATATGTGACCGATTTTGTGGCCGATTTTTTATAATGTAAATGCCGATTAGTCAGATTTTTTCTTAAAAATTAACGATTTTTCTACTACAGCTGCTGGAAGATTTCCGAATGTCTCTTTCGGCTTTTGTACTACTACTATTATTGTTATTTTTACATTTCTTCTCAAACATTTGTAACACTTGACAACATTTCATGGTCAAAATAAGGATTCATAAATCCATTTTAAATGACGTTAAATTTGAAAAAGTAAGTTTTAAACTTGAATTACAAATGAAATGAAATATGTTGAATTGAAAGGTACGAAGTACAATAGAATGTTTCGAATTACAAATTCCAACTAAAATGTCTTGAATGCATCTGTATCGAGTGCATTCATCGAGTTTGATGTTGAATATATGTAAATCGCCCAGGTGACCCATGTAACCACGACTCCTGTCCAGAATACCCCAAATTGATTTTGGTATGTAAATCTAGCTACGTATGTTGTCTTTTCAAATTCACTCACCTTGCATTGCTCCGCCCCAGCATAGCCAGAACAAAGCCCACTTCGCCGTGCAAAATCTTTGCAAACACTTCGGTTTATAGCGAAACCAGCCGTAACCTTGCGAGCCCATAAATGTGTCCGTCGAAGCTGATGGTGTTTGGACCTGATTCGATTCGTTGTTGTTATCCATAATCAGCCTAGACAATATGTGATTTTTTCCAATTCGATGACTTCTATCTTTTAATATTTATTTTATTTTCATAGATTCCACTGCGATTTTATTTGTTCTTTCTAACAAATATTTAAATAAGCACTTGACTCGAATCCGAATTGAATCCAATCGTTACATTAAATTGTCGTTGTCAATATTCCGACTGCATGAAGAGCACGCAAAGCTCCGAACATTACGAAACGACGCGTCAAATGAAACTAAACGATGGCCATGCCATAGCATTCCTTCAAAGACCAACTTCGTAACAACATTGGCTGCTGAGCGATGTTGTTACGAAGTCGGCAAGTTTTGTTGTTGTTGTTAAATAACATCGTAGTAGTTATGTTACTGTTAGGTACATCTCCGAGAAGATCTATACGAACGGCAGGATATGACAAACGATTCAATTTCACTCGTAGCATGCGACGAATTCACATCATCATCATCATCGTCTGCCTTGTGTTCAAGGAGTGGTGGGCGGGAGCGTGAACGCATTCGGTAGCAGAACTGTTAATCGTTGGGGACAACTCTGTTAAGTGTTTTCGTGCTATTGAATGAGCGTGAGTGAATGTGCTTGTGGGTGGGTGGTTGGACGGACGGGTGGATGGTTGGTTGGTTAGCCGTTTGAGTAAGAGATGGAAGCAATTGTTTCACTTTTAAACTCACCACTCACTCGCACACGTACACGCACACACGTACAATGACACAAAATCAAAACAAGCAAGTGTCAACGCTGCATAAGTAGGTGGGAATTTTAATAAACCTAAATAACAAAACAAGAGAGCATCGACAGAACGTAATGCCGGCTTTTTTCATGCTGACTGGGCGAATGTGAACGAGTTTATCTTACGCACGCATTCATGCCCGCGTAGCCATCTCGCAGCCATTGTTGTCCCCTCCCCCTCCTCATCCTTCACGTACGTCCACGTCATAGCGACAGCTTCAGCAGCTTATAATTGCCCTGGATAATAATTCCATGACACCGAACCAAGGTGTTTGTTTATTCCAGTCAATGTACTACCGACGGCATATTAGTGCGACAATGCATTGAAGTAAAACCAGAAAAATAGTAAAAAAAAAAATCAGACAACATTGAGACTTCAATGTGATTTTGCGTGAGAAGTGAAATTTTCCAATAATTCAATTAATACCCCAATATTTGGAGGAGATCCGACCAAAATCTATGAAACGTATACAGTAAGTCACATTTTACTTTACACACTCAAAACTAGTAATGGAAGTCTTCAAGTCGGGCGGGGCCGATTTATGATACCCCACACCACTTTGCATATTTAGTAGTTGATCGAACATGTGAATTGAAGTGAGCAATCACAACTGTGATTTTTTTCTTGCAATCGAGTTCGATCAGCATCATTGTTTATTTAACCATTCAATCAAGTTAGGACAGTTTATTTGACTTCTTTTTTGCGCCCTTTATATTCGGTATTTCACTGATAGCAGTCCCAATGAATTTTGCATATTGAGTTCTCATTGGACGGATTATTGTCATGTGAAAGAAGTAGGTAGGTCCACGTTTTGAAATTAGCCCCATAACGTTTTGCAAGTTTTTTTTTTTTTTTTTTGTTTAAATGTGTTCGCATCTTCCAGCTGAAGCACGATGTAGATCCTGGAGTTGAAAGCTAAACGCCAATTTCAGACGCTATTTAACATCGTATTGCGTACTATTTCAATTTTGATGTTATTCATTCAGAATTCAAAGCAATAAAAAATGCACACTTCTATATAGTTTTTAAATTGAAAAAATTTCACGCCAAAAGAATTTTTTCTTTTATATTTTTATTGGCATATTTTACGCAATTTTTTTGCCAATATTCTATTCCGAAGATGTATGAATTGTGAAAATCCATCAAAACGTTCTTAAGTTATAAGCATAGTAACTAATAATAAACAAATTGAAAAAAAAATCTTCAAGTTGTTCGCTGTTTTTTTACAGCGAATGTTTAAAGATACCTACAAAGTTTGGTCCTTACTACAATTTTGAATTTTTGATTCCATTGAAAAAAATGCAATGCAATAGGCTCTTTTTTTGATTTTTTTAGCAATTCTGAAAAAAGTAATTATCTTTTAACTTTGGTTTGACCACGTTAAATTATTTTGACATCATCTATTTAGGTCCGCCACTCCATAATTGTCGTCGCTTTTTTTACCAAAAAAGACTACACATCATATTAGAATTAAAAAAAAAAACACTACAAATGTACATTCCAAATAGTAAGTGAAAAAAATTTGCAACATAAAACATTACTATTGTACAAAGTCAAAATGAAAATTTTCGAATATCACATTTTTACGCAATTTTTTTTTTTTTTTTTTTTTTTGGATTTTATCTATTTCTGCCAAGAGACAATTCCGAATTAGTGTGAATCGTTAAAATCAGATCAGCGCTTCTTGAGTTATAAGCGTAGAAACTAACACAACTTTCTTTTATATATATAGATAGATTAGAAGTTTGCGTGGTCAGTTCCTCAGCCCCCAAATAAATCCCTAGGGTTGGAGGGAAGGCAACAGTATCTCGTGTAATAATTTTCAAACCGATATCTTCATTATCTGGCAAATATAAAGGTTTTAGATAAATCAAGATAGTGAGCGTAAAAGTAGACGTCGTCAATATTTTTTTCTTTTAAAACCTAACTCGGGGTATGATGAACGTTTGTACAAAAAATTATGCAAATCGATCCAGCCGTTTTCAACTGATTCCATTACCAACGAACAACAATTGGTTTTTATATATGTAAACTAGCTGGCCCGGTCCGCGTTGCCGGCCCGTAGTTTTAGTCTTTAATGCAAATTTTGAATAGCATAATATTTCACAAATCTAACTCATAAAGGTGAACAAATTTTAATATAAATATTGATTCGACTAAATAGAAATAAATACCTATGGAAGGAGGGCAAAATAATTTCTGAATAGTCAAAGTTAATTACGCTTTTACACCCATTACCATAGCACCTGAAATTGCGCATTAGAGTCCCCAAAAAGTCTATGTTCTTGTTCATAGAAAAATTCAATGACGATTAAACAATACCCGCGTTGTTGTCCATCAATCGGTAAACATCACTATAGATCGGCGGGCCTGGGGACTATATGGGGACTGTACCAAAATATTTACGTATGTTGACATTTTTCTGTAAGATGGTTCTCTACTCACAAAGTAGCCTAAATACAGCAAATAATAGCCAAAATAGTTGAAAAATCATGGATACATTTATATAAGGGTTATACCAAAAAGTGGCCCAACCAATATTCTCTTGGGGATTACAAATTCAATAGAAAACAAAATTTTCTTTTCTGACCACCAATTAGATGTGAAAGTGGACTTGGGGATACTCCAATATGGGGACTTTACTTAAATAAATTCCTATGTGGCAATTATCTGTATGGTGGTTCCCTACCGCAGAGTAGCATAAATACAATTATTAACCAAATCAATTAATGAATGTGGTCAAGACCAAAATGGGCCCTACTCTGAAAATTTCAATCTTTATGCGAAAAGGTTCTCTACCTCCTTAGAAACAAAGATGCCAAATAATGGCCAAAATATTTAAAAAGTGACCAAGACACCAAAAATAGCTTAAATCATACGATGGTTATATAAATATGAAATCGGGTTGTACCCTTATCCGTGAGTTATGATCGATATCATGACCTGCAAAAGCGATTTAAGGTATCTTGAATGTTTGGGAAGATTTTCTGGAAGGATACAAATCCTTTTTTAATTTGAGAGTTAAAAGCCTAAATAATAAATAACATATATTAAAAGTTTACATCAACCATTTATAATAGCCCCATGTATGATGGTTCTCTAACCACAAATTAGCCTAAACACACATTTTAAGCCAGATCGATTCAAAAATACAATCAAAACCCTCGAAATTGGTAAAATCAAAACATTGATATTGAAAAATTTCCGCGAAGAGGTCTTCTACCCCCTTAGAAGCTAAGATGCCAAATAATGGTAAAATCAATTTAAAAATGTAACCAAGACCCTGTAAATAGCTGAAATCAGCGGACACCTTCATATAAGGGTTATACCAAAGCATTGTCCTATACTTACAATTATTTGAAAGAATGTGTGGTTCTCTCTAAAATCTCAAATTACCACATTTGAGGAATTAGAAAGGGGCTATATCATTTGAGCGGGACTTTTTCACAATGTAGACCGACCTGTTACATATTTTGTATAAATGATTCTTAGTAAGGAACTCCATAAAGTATGTTAGAGAGTAGAAATCTTTGTTGATTGAATTATGTCCGTGAGCCTCTTCGTTCACCATCTGCAATTACGATTGAGGTAAACAAATTTAATACACGTCTTTCAAACTTTGCACAGGCTTTTATATTAATCTTAGGCTGATTGGTGTTAGAAAAGGTATACATTTGTTCTCATTTAGATACAAACCTCATATAATATTAGGTGTGTCTGGTTACTTTTCCAGCAAGAATTGTCCAGTAATATCTTTCTGAGAGAGTAAGGTAGTTTTATTCTCTTTTGCAAGGAAAATGCGAAAAGTAAACAGACGGTATTCCTGCCGAAGCTTCCAACGAATCAGCTGATTTGTCAAAACAAACCAATTTGTCCCCATTTAAAATAAAGGAAGCAGCACCAATTTTACAAGTTTTAAAAATAAAAAGGAAATTAGCAATAAAATAAAAATATGAACAATAAAAGAAATATATATCTGATTTGTTCCCCGGAATTCTTTAAGCGTGTTGCTAATGGCGTTTGTCTAAAAATGTTGGAAATAGTATTTTATTTTCTTATTACATATTAATATTTTCGATTTTCACATTTTGTAAAGTTGTTCTCCAAAAATTATTTGTCTTGCTAATTCCAAAAAAATATTTTCAAACTAAAAGCATAAAAAGAAATAAACAAATAATTGAAAACATCTGATTGAATGTCGATGAATGAGAAGAAGAAGAGTTGCAAGTGATTGCAAGAACAAATTTGTCCAGCAAGAATTTGCAAACTCTCACTGAAAGAACTGTCAAAATTTCTCTCTCTAACCGCTCTCTTTTGCAGAACTTTCGGGTTAACAGACGACTTCCAGTAACAATTTGTAACAATTGTTACAAATTTTAGGGTAACCAGACACACTTATTATCTTCTAATATTCGTCGACCAAATGTGCTTTAATTTGGCCGATTTGAGGTATTTTGAAGGACTCAAAAGCATTTTTGAGGTTATAAATCATTTTGGGGTTATAAATCATTAAGACATAGAAGTTTCAGAAGG